ATCTAAACTCAGATGCTTTAGGTAAAGACATTTGACACTGTTGTCCTAAGTAATTTGCTTTTAGCTTTACAAACAAAGCAAGAAGTGAGAGGGACAACATGGGAACAATTAATAAGCTCGCCTAGCAACACTAACTTACAATTAATTTCACATTGAACAAATAATTTGGTAGGCATTTTTAAGATGAGTAATTTGTCCTTTACTTTCTAAGCTCAAATAAAGCCAACATTGACCTTTCCATTGCCATACTTTTAAAGTGTAGAGTGAGTCTGTATTATTATATGCCTTTTAATAGACATTTTCTCAGATATTAAAGGCCAAATTATGTGCTTTTAAACAATACCAGTATGTGCTTTGTATCAGTGTAAGAAGCATTGGTTCCATATTTAATCTAGTTTTATGAAGGATTATTTATTTTGTTTATTTTTCCATTTTGATCAAAAGCTCAATATACAATTTTACCATAATAAGAACAAGAATAACAAAAGCCTCCCTAAAGTATTTTATTTACTTGAAGTTCATAGAACTGAGCAGCCAATCGATAAATTTTTCCATCCCATTCTAGGTGGTAAATCTTTACTTCACTGCAAAGATAACGTTTGGGCACCAAGAAGGTAATAATATATAAAGTTCCTGCTACACAAATATGAGAACCTGAGTTTGGATCCTATGTATCCACCTAAAAGCTGATCATAGCAATGCATGCCTGTAACCCTGTGGGATGGAGTCTGGTATAGTTTAGGGACTAGCTGGATATCTATTCTAGTCAATTGATGAGCTTCAAGTTCAGTGAATGATTTTGTCTCAAAGCAAGACAAGACAGAGCAAGAGAAAACAAAGCAAAACATGCACAAAAGCAATATAGAGGAATGATTGAGAAAAATATTCCAAAATCAATTACTGACATCAATATAGGCAAGCACAGGTCAGTGCACTTGTGCACTCATGTCCACATATGACACTTGATGGTTAGAGAACTTACATATTTTATAATATTCTTAAGGTTTGTCTTGTTTATAAGAATTCCTTCTACCCATACTATAACTGTGCAAAAAAGCATTATTATTTTTGCGAACTTCCCTGAAAGGATGAAATGTTTTTCAAGTCAATGATAAATATAAACAAGAAAATTAGAACCATGATTAAGAGGTAACAGTAAAAGAAGATAGAACTACATAAAGATGTTTGCATGCCTTCTGCTTACCAAAGCGGAAATGAAACTCTAATACATCCCATCACAGTTCACATTACTTGTTCAGGGGAAATGCACTTTGTTTTCTCAATGAAAAATTCTGAGATCGAATTTCTCTGATACATTTCTCCAAGAAAGGAAGCAACAAGTACTCAGTCTGGAAAGGCTAAGAAGATGGAACTTTTAGTTTTCTTCTTAAAATTCTTAATATTAATGTTGAACATCAATACCAATGGTATAATGGATTCAATATACTTCTCAAATCCACTTCACAATACCATGAAAATATACTCAGTTAAAATGTCAAGAAGGTATAGTAAAAATATCACATTAAAAGTGTTTTATAGGGAAAACTCACAGAATCTCTGTTTTTTGACTTCTCCAGTAACTTGTTAGAAGTTTGTATAAGTGAAAGCAAACCGTATACAAATAGAAATAACAAATTCAGAAATGTCAAGATGAAAGCCTGGGAACTGAATTGGGGGGGGTAGATGCAATAGTGTGTTTAAAGTTATAGCTGAATGTGTATATTGGTGAAATGCATTTGTGTCTCTGTTCAATCTCTAACATGAAAGGACAGCAAAGAGTGAAATTAAGTAAACTATGAGCACAGTTCAAAAATTATGTAGCATTTTTCTTAATGGAGAAACAATGGTTGATTAAAGCAAGAAAACTCCAATGATTCCCAATAATTTTCGCTTTGGGATCATTCATAGAGCTTGAGTTCAAAATTACTAGATGAATCCCAGCTACTTGAAAACAGAAGCAGGAGGCTTACTTGAGCTTCAGAGCTGATGGGCAGCCTTGGATAAATATAGTCAGACTCTGTATAAATCGGCCAAACAACCAACTAATACATAATCAATCAATCAATCTCTCTCTATATTTATCTGCCCCCATCTCTGCTTCTCCCTCTCTTTCTTTTTACTTTCTTAAAAGGCTGATGATGTAGCTCAGCACATACAAAACATTAGGTTAAATACTTCCTCCAGCTATACTACTTTCTGAAAGCCTTTACATGTTCCTCTTGTATATCTATGCAGACATCCTAGTGATTCAGTTATTTTTATTTCCCTTTACAAGAAAATAAAATGCCTATGTAGTCCAGTAAGTGTTCATGACATTCCCATAAGCTGAGTAGTTACAGCTGTGTCCTTAAAATGCTTGGTAAATAACTGGAATTATGGATTTTGAAAATAGCAAGGTATTTGAAAAGTAACTTTAATTCTAGTATGTATTCTTATGTAGCTTTTGTGACATCAGGATTCTCTTAGTGACTTACATAGCCAATATGAACATGACATTTCTTCATCTTCATTTATACTATTTATCACCATGAAGATGATCAGCTAGCATGTCCATAAAGTTCAGGGATTTAGTAGTTATCCATTTCCCAATATTCAAAGGGCACATTAGCTAATGAAATAACACTATCAGAAATCCATTAGAGGCATGTATTTTGTAGTGACACAAGTAGCAACTTTTAAAACAATAATGGAGCTTTAAAACTGAGAAAGAAGAAATGGAGAATTGAGGAGAGTTTTCTGAAACCATCCCTAGGATCTGAGGGGGCATGGGTATATCAAATGGTCTTTTAGGTAGCTAGCTGAGCTGGCCACTACTTGGGAATCCTCTATAGCCTGAGGCTAATATTTATAAGTTAAATACAAGATGGAAATGGTGGCTTTAAAGATGCTTCTCCTTGTGAACTTGTCTAAGATGCCCCATAATTAGATATCCAAATTCAAAACTCACATAGTTGGGATTGAACATAAGACACCTTCTCTAACTAAACAGAGAAGGGGGAGATGCCAGAAGCCAGGACCCTCGCCCTTACCCTTACCCCCTACCTTTCCCCACCTGCACAATGTCCTCTGAAGCTTGGCAACTGCAAGATCCTGCCTAGCAACTGCAGATAGACTCAAAGCAGAGTACCATGTCTTCTTAAGAATAGCAGGGAGACCATAACTCAAGCAGTGTACCATATCTTCTGAAGAACTGCAGGTAGATCATAATTCAAGGCAGTGTACCATATAGACCATGACATGTTTCAAGGCACAGGCCAAGAAGATTTTGTACTTTTCCACCACCTGGACCCTCTTACCCCCTCCCATTGTAAAACATGCTATAAAAAAAAGCATTTCATGTTTAAAAAAAAAGAAATTAAAAAAAAAAAGATGCTTCTCCTTTTTAATAATCAATTTTAGTTAATAAATTTGATTTGATTGACTATCATCACCAAAGCTTTGGAGTGTCAGATTTGGTGTCAATAAAGTAAAACTCCCTTGGTAGGAGTTGAGAGCATTGTAGATATTTATGGAAGACTACATAAATAAGTTATATGTGCTTTGGGCTTTGAAGGTTCAGTAAGAATTGATCAGACATACAAAGTATGATCATTCAGATGGAAAATAAATGGCAGATATGATAAAATATGAACATTTTGGGTAGCATAGGATAAGGATATTGGCTTATCTGCATGTGAGTCATTAAAACAGAGTAGTGAAGCTAGGGACAGAAAGAAGAGAGATAGCTATCCTATCAAGATGGACTTCATTATATCTAGGAAGGAGTTTTTTCTTAAAATGGGAAAAGTCAGGATGATTCAGAAATGTCAGTAATGTAATTATTAATTCATTTACTCAATATTTAAAAGGCAGTGTCCATAATATGCCACACACACTGACTGGTCAATGGATGTGAGTAGGTCATCTATGTAAGTAAAAAAAAAAATAATAGGAATCTTAAAAGACAGTGGTTCTCTTCTTCCACCTATGCCCAGCAGGGCCCTCCACTTTTACATATTCAGCTGAAGCCCTGGATCCCCCCCTAAGTGCTCCCAGGCTGGTGGTTTAGACCCTGGGAGCTGAAGAGAACCTTGACCTCATGAAGGCTGGATGCCCCAGGGGGTGGGAATTTTGAGGGTGGGGAGGTGGGAGTGGGGGGGGTGTAGATAGAGGTTACATCCACAGAGAAGAAGGAGGAGGGGCGAGGGGATTGGGGGTTCCGAGGGGGTGGTGGGGGATGGGGTAAGGGGACAACATAGGAAATGTAAATAAATCATCCAATAAAAAAAAAGACAGTGGTTAAAAATGAGGATTAATAAGAAGAAACATTTTGAGGGAGAATAAGCAATGGTATACAAAAAACAAAAATGTAGAAAAACACAATGCTGAAGGTAAAGTTACTACTAGCTGCAATTAGAAAGCAAAAGGCCTGGAGAATGAATGATTTTGTTTCAGATTAGCTGTGTTATTACTAAGGATAAAGTCGCAAATTGGGGCTTCTGGTCTTGACAAGTATATTTTTATTCTGTTCTGATACTAAGTAACACACACACATATACACACACTCACAGACAGACACAGACACACAGACACACAGACACACACACACACACACACGCACACACACCAATCAGAAATTCCATAAACGACAACCAAACCAACCCCTTAAACCCCATCTGCTTATGATAAATTAATTTCCTAATGGCAAAAAATCAAAATTACTTTTCATGTTGTAACTTTTTAATATTTCATTTTATGTGCCTAAAGGTACTACCTACCACACTAATGAGACTCCTTAATATTTCATTGTTTTAATCACTGAAGAAAGACAAATGATTACATCACTGACTTTTCTTGGAGGAAACTCCATGTGAAAGATATTCAAATGAGGCTCAAATGCTTTCTTTCTAAGGCTTATAGTCCCTATAATTTAACTTTGTGAGATGACAACACTGTGTACACATAAATGAACACTCTTTTGGTGTCTTCAAAGTATTGTGGAACAAAGTAGAGCACAGTACCTTGACTTTTTCAAGGTGATCTTGGAGAGAGTCAATGAGGAGATCCCCCACTGGCTGCCAGGATCCCTTGATCACCTCAGCTTGGCGCAACTTGAGGTCCAGTTCATCGGCAGCTTCCTGAAGTTCCTGAAGTCTTTCAAGAGCCTCATCTATTTTTCTCTGCCAATCAGCTGAGTGCAGGTTCAATTTGTCCCATTCCGTGTTGACCTCTTCTGCCTGCTTTCGTAGGAGCCGAGTGACATTCTGAGCTCTTTCTTCAGGAGGCAGCTCTAAATTGGCAATATGACAAGGTTTAAGGCCACATCCATTTTGTTAAAAAAAAAAAAAAGCATTGTTGAAAAGGTCAGACTAGAAGAAAGGAAGCGAATATAGATTAACAAGAGGCCAACTTACTGATTAATGGCTCTTTTACACTTTGGCATAAATTTTGATATAGACAAGCTCAGCTAAACTGTCTGTCTTCCTTAGTGAATCTGTTCTACTTTTTGTCAACCAGATAAATCAAGATTCATTTAAGCTTTCAGAGAGAAAAATGTTAGCACATGCTGAACAGTTCTAATTTATTTCAGTCAGCCTAAACGGAAAATTAGCTTGCAGTCTTTGTAACAATAGAATTCCGTTTCACAGATAAGCTCCTTTGTTTACTATTTTCTAAATATACAAATAACTGATTATTGATTGCTTTATTTATGACTGAAAACAGGATTGTGCAGGGTAGTTTGTGATTCTGTATTCTTTTTCAACACCTACATTTAATTTGAATTGATTCTGTTTAACCCAGTATGAGAGCTATATAGACTCTGGCAGCAAGCTTGGATGGGCTGTGCTCTCATCACTGAGCCTTCTATCAATATGTTATTACAGTTCCACATTCAATTACCTCTAGGCTCCTGGTAGAGTTTCTCTAGTCCTTCCAAAGGCTGCTCCGTCAGAAATATTCTCACAGTCTCCAGAGTACTCATGATTACAGGTTCTTTAGTTTTCAATTCCCTCTTGAAGGCCTGTGAAATGAGATGAAAAGAAATGCTTATTTGGCTTGTGGAATGCTCCTCAAAATTAATCCTGGGTGCTCAGCACTTGTTTATGTAACTCCCCAGTCAATTTCTCTCTCCTTTATTTATAAACTGGAAGTCATAAAATGATAAGAAAGGCGACCTGGGTCTCAATGTTAATGAGCAAACTACTGGGATGGTGAATTTTTTTTCTAGGGAAAGCTGGGGAGCTTTCAAGACAGGTGGTATCTTAATATTAAGATAAGTTCATTTTTGTTTATATGACCTGACTAGCAGATATAGAAATAAAATCACAAAGTCTATATTGTAAAATCCTTCCCTGGTTAATGAAGATTTAAATATTCCCAACGTAATGACTTCTAGTACACACTGGAAAATATTCACTGTTATGTAGAGAAATTCAGACTTATTGAAATATGTAACAAATTCAACTGGTAATTCTGTCAAAATGTTTGATGGTGAGTAAACTAAATTCATCTACTGAAAATGGGATGGGGGTTCTTGGTTGGGGGAGGGGAGGAAATGGGGAAAGGCAATAACATTTGAAATGTAGATACCCAATAAAATACCCAATAAAAAATACCAAAACTAACTATTATGTTTTACATTGTGACTTTTCTGAGAAGAGTAGCTATTTTTGGAACTATTATCGATACAAGGATTTTGAATACCTTTCTATAAATGAATAGACCTAGAATATGTGTTCTTCAGACCACTTAGTTAAGTAGTCAGTTTGGTTAGCAATTTTAATCTTTAATCAATATTCTCTGTTACAAGAAATTTGGATAGGAGAAAAATGAATCAGTTTTGCCTTCAAGAACCTATTGGACCAACATAAGAAAGAAAAATGCCTAGCACAGGGAGGAAACATGCCCAAAGATGAAATGCAGGATGTCTTGGGTTGAATCCTAGCCTTGGAATATCCTTAAACAAACATACACAACAAAACCAAAGAATGAAAGGATAAAAGAAAATGAAAGAAACATTATAGAATTTGAGTCAAGACTCTAAAGTCATACGTAATCCAGTGAGGCACACAGTAATGCATAAATTAATACTCATAAATAAAAAAATTTGTTGGCCCAGATTTTATGATATCTTAGATGATCATGTTAATAAAATATATTAAGTATCACATATGCAATAATATGGCTGATTATTACTAATATTACTCTGACCTAAGGTTTAATTATGAACTATTTTTTAATTCTATCTTAACAATGCCATCAACTGAGTTTAAGCCCTCTTATATAACTGGGAAGTTCAGTGATGCGATGCTTTCCTTTAAATTTCAGACATAGCATTATGATACAAAAGCATCTCAGAACTGTATTATAACACATTTGTTGGTAAGACTCTTAATGGTGCTCACCAATGAAAAGAAGCCTGAGTGTGCTACTTTATAAAATAATTGATCTGTCAAGGTTATTTATGATTCAGGAGAGAGAGGTAAGGTGTCTGAATAAAAATAACAGACTATTTGGATTCAGCCTGTACATGCAGAAGAAATTTTTATATTATGGACTATTCTTGTGTCCTTGAAACCACACTGGGTAGATGATTATTTACTTTACTTACACAGAAGTCTGGTTTTACCTATAACATTTTATTTGATTTCTACATATGTGTGTTTGTGCATCTGATGTTATATGTATGCATGCATTGTATCTGTATAAGTATGTGGATATACTTTTTGTTGTGTTGTATTTTGTACAGTCCAACTTTCACAAATACAAGCAAATTATCTCCTTTTATCTGTCTGTCTACTTGAATAATGATACTGGCTTTGCTAATTATAAAAATAATAATGGCTCCCTACACCAAACTTCTGTATCTAAGTTACACTATAGACTAGAGACAAAACGTTGAGTCTAAATTGGTGCCTCTATTTATTAAATTCCAGTATATCAAGAAGAGCTAAAAATGTAAATCAGTTCAATACAACCTGGGAAAGATTTCTAGAAGATTTTAAGTATATTGAGTTCTAAAGCATAAACATGAGTTAGAGAAGAATTGTTAGACGACATTCAAAGAAAAGAAATGTGTACATACACAGAGACAGAGCATAACATTCTATAGTGTGTATAATTATCTCCAAACAGGCCTGCCCTTCTAGAAAGTTAGGATTAAGGAAAGACCGTTACCAGAGTTAACATGAGTAACTGTTAGTATATAGAAACACAGTAGAGTTTTGAAGCAGAATTTTGGCATCAGACTCTTGAAAAGCTTAGACAGGGAAATGACATGGATACATTTGTGTTTACCAAAGTAGAAGTAACATGATAGAGGAAATAAGACAAAAAGATGAGGCTCTAATTAGGGAAGGGTGGGAGATAAATACAGAAGGAAGGAAGCATGGGTAAAGTGACAGTAAAACTTCCAAGGAGTCATACTATTATTTATCTACCTAATATATATAAATTTTATCTGGGCTAACAATGCTCCCTGCATAGGCCAAAGACCACCTAACAAAAACCCCACTACCAGTCATGAGAAGCCATCTCTTGAGTTGTTGGCCAGGGTTGTCTAAGAGAATCACCAAACATTACAGATCATTTCTATTGCCCTTGGTTTCCCCCCACGAGTGATAAAGTATAAGTATCCATTATTACAAACACAAAGCACTTCAAACACAAGGCGCATAGTCCCCATAGTTGGAAGCAACCTGAAAGCCCCTTCTATGAGAAGTAGCTTTCATTGTATTAGAAGTACACTTTCAAGCTTACAATGAAGGGAGGCAACCAACAATTCTTCCCAACTCGGTCTACGAACCACAACAAAGACCAGAATGAGATGATAACCTTAAAGGGGTGGTTGTGGCACTTAAAACTTGGTGGTAACTAGAAGTACTCTACTTGCACTTAAGACCCACTGAGCAAGAGGGAAATCCTGTCTGGTATTGGAAATCTAGCAAACTCCTTAGTGCTAGTGAAGTTGTGGATCATAGAGAACTAAAAACGACCACCTTATGAAACCAGCATAATCCCTAACTATAATCTAAATAGCTATCCTTATTCCTACAGATAAATGTAGTCCTTACTCGTTTTCAAGGAACCTTCTCTTTGTAACAGATGGAGACCATCACAGAAAATCACAACTAATCAAAATGGAGAGGTGTGGAGCACAGTTTCAATGGCTACTTCTATAAAAACAACTCCTGCTCCTAAGGTTCGGAGAGTACTGTTAAGAGGGGGAAGAGAGATAGTAAGAGGCAGAGTCTCAGGGAGTTTTCAGTGAGATTGTATCTCTTAGTATTGTCAGAAGCTACAGCTATAAAATTTTACCAACATTACTGCCTAATATGAACTGAACAAGGATGATACAGCTAGACATCAAAGTATGTGGAGGGAAGACCAAGAGGTTTCAGCCCTATACAAGGAACTACACAAAGGAATGCCTAGCATAGAAGAAATAGTCTTCTCCAAGGGAAGAACATATCAATTGGTTATCTTATATCAAATGGTCAGTCCTGAAAATACAAGTAACATTGCATATACTAAGCATGCTATATCTATGAATCTATATGTACATAAATAAAGGAAGAAAAGAAAAAAGATATCTCTCATGACTAGGGATATGGCACTGTTCAGAAAATGTGTGCATGAAGTCCCAGGTTTGATTGCCAGCACTAAATTGTCACCCATGTTGGCACATGTAGGCTAATTCCAACACTCAGCTGATGGAGGCAGGAGGATTATATGTTCATGATTGTGGGGAAAATTTATGAAGGCCGCCACAGCGGCGCAAGCCCCGAGGGGCTTCCGCCGCAGTGGCGGGTCTCACATTAGGGAGAGAATCCTATGGTTCCAGTGGCCTGAGGGCCTTGGCGGCGGCAGGCCCCAGTAACACGAGGAAGTCCTTGGTTCCAAAAAGGTTTATTGTCATGGCGGATAATAGATGGATCTAGGTGTACCCCCCAAAACTCAGGGCAGTCCCGAGTTATATAGGGAGGGAGAAAGGGGGAGGATTGGGGGAGGATCTGGGGGAGGCATGTTTAATTTGCTCTGTCCTCTGGCCTTCATTAGTATGTAAATCCCTAGGGCCTGAGGCCTACAGCCTGGCCTATGTGACTCTATGGAGATGTGACTACTTTTCAGGATCCTGGATGATGGGAGGGACCGAACTCCTGCCGGTTCTCGCGTAGAATTCCACGCAGCAGAGTCTGCAGAGTTTCGGGTTCTAGGCACCTGCTCAACCATGACCCAGGATACCCTTACGCAGTCCCACACATGATCATCCTCTGTAACAGAGCTAGTTGGAGGCCAGCTTTGTTTACATGAGATCTCTCTTCCAAAACAAGCAAATGAAAAAGGTGAACAAAGATATACATGAAATGAAGACAGTGGTCTCCCCTTTCTACAGTTTTATATTCCACATATTTAATTATTTTTGGTGATCTATGATGACCATAATGGAAAATTACAAATTAAATTGTGATTGACTGTCATGATACAACAGTGCTTGAGCTCAAATATCTTATAAGTAAGCTCTTAAGAGTACAAATTGTAATGCTAACAATTTAGATAATTCAAAGAAAAACTATAAAGCACTTTAAGTGAAATGGTGAAATTTCTTACCTTTTATTTTTATGTGAATTTATATGGTTCTGAGTATACATATATGTGCAGGTGCCTGTGGAATCTAGAAGAATGTATTAGATGGCATATAATTGGAGTTACAGGCGGTTGTGGGGAACTAGGAAACAAACCTGATTACACTACAAGGGCATAAAGTACTTATAACTACTGAACCATCTCCCCATCTCTGAAGATTCTCATATTAATAAAGAAATTGAAAAAAACATGTATGCAGAAGTTACTACAATCTAGAGTAAGTTATCTTTCTGCACATAATTTATAACTTATGCTTTATCATAGTCAGGCATGTATAAGAAGTAACACAGTATATGCAGTTTGGGTTATTCATGGGGGAGTCTTAGAATGTATTCCCATAGATAAGATGGCAGTTGCTCTATAGAACATAAATCT